TAATCATCCAAAACGTTATGGAACACATTAATTAACTGAAAAATGTTGCATAGTGTGCCTTTAAATAAGCTGAAGAAAAAGTGTTTTTTTTAATCATTGAAATAAGAGAAAATTGGTTTCATTTCACAATTTCTTTTGTTCCTCAAGGTAAAGTGAAGGTTTTGGATTGACTCATTGGATTGAGTCCCAATCCTAAGTCTGATGGGAAATCTGTGGAGAGAATGAAAGATTAGGGTGATGGAAACAAGGGCTTCCAACCCCATAGACTTGGAGCCAAGGCTAAAGATAAACCAGCAGAGATAGAACACAGACAGCTGGGCTGAACATATAACAGGGGTTGGGCTTTTCATTTGCCAATAAAGATGTTTCCATCCAAACTGAGAGGGAATTTTAACAGCCTCATGTTTTTAAATGGAAATAAAAACACCTTTGTTTCCACACTGATATTCTTTCTCTTCACTTTATTTTATTCTCTTCTGAGAGATGCCTTCTTCATGTCCACTAAGACATAAAATTTTTGGTTAAATGAAAATAAGTTTAAAATCTAAATCAGACAGAGGGGGAATCACTTGTAGCTTAACTGTATATAAAACACAATTAAGTAGTGTTTATATGCAGTTAATTAAATTAAAATACAAAATAAGTAATTAAAACAAATACAATGAGCCAGAATGTTTTTTCCATCAGAATAGAGAGCAGTTGTAGCAGCAGCAGCAACCACCAGGAGGTGAGGATGAGGAGGGAGAAGAAAGAAGATCCAGGTTCTAGTTTTTTTTTAGCTGAAACACACAAAAATTTTAATCTGTTAAAACTTTGAGAGCAAAACAGGTAAAATATTTTAGATCCAAACTTTCTGCTGTTATTACAGCAGTTCAGAGTTAAAACGTTGGTTTCTAAAACATCCATGCATTTACCTGAGGATGATGAGGAAGATTATGGTCCTTTTTATTTAAATCAAACAGCAACTTCCAGCCGTTTGATTTATGAACTATGAAATCCTGAATCTGGATCCGTTTTTAAATTAGTCTCTATTGTATTAGAGATAAACTAATATACATACTTTTCCTTTTTTATTTAGAGTTTTATAGGGAGTTATACACACGTCCAACTAATGTATGGAGAGAAAATAGTGACAATATTATTGAAAGCAAAGCAAAGAACACCTTTCGAAAATGGGAACTTTAAATAACTTCTTAATTAAAAAGAAAGTATTTTAAACATTTGTCAAAAAGTTTACTGATATTTTAAAGATAACTTATTTTCCAAATGTAATTTTTTTTCCCAATTTTTTTTTTATTTCCCCCAGATTTTCATTTGTCATCTTTTTGAGGGATTACAGATTTCAACATCCACTCATCTGGATGGGCTGTGTGAGAAAAAAAATGAATACAATCTGAAAAAAGGGTAAATAAATATACGTTAATTATAAAAAGATATGTTCTGCAAAAATATTTTGAAATATAAAATTCAGAAAATAAAAGCTGTGAAATGTACTAAAATGTACAAATATAGGCTGATATTCTGCAAACACATTATATTTTATTCTCAAAACCTTTTTCTTAAAGTCCAATTTTTTCCGCTTTCTACATATTTCCTTTGTTTTTTAGAAATGTTCTTTTCATTCAGTAATATTGGAACAAGTTTCTCTTCATACACTGCAGACAACCTGCAGTTAAGGAGTCAATTTGAAGCGAAAAAACATGATTTAAAGTCTCCTCATTTCTTAATGAATGCAGGACGGGTATTACTATGTTATTACATAGATGTCTTATGATGCTGGCCTCCCTCTGCATCCTGTTTCAGAAGTAACTTTTAAAAACACCCAAAGTATGCAGGTGTGTAAGATATGAAGTGTGTAGGAAGGATTGATAGGATATTCTACTAGCGGTTAAAATGGATGGCTGCCTGTCGGCCATCTTGGATTCAGAGGGCATTGAATCCTGGACATAAGAGAGAATCCTAACGTCTGATAAACATTTCCGCCATAGCAACGCTTGCATCCAGTAGAAAATGCTGGCCAACTTCTGTGATTAGTCAGATGGTTAGTACAAAACGAGCCCGCTATGTTTGATGAACTCCCATGTCCCAGTTCTTACATGGAGGTCATGTCGTTGAGAGCGTGGTCCAGCTCCTCGCTGATGGCCTTGTATTTGAGTTTCTGAGCATAAAGCTCATCTTTAGGGAAGAAAGAAAAAAACAACAGGTGAAGATAAGAACAGATTCAAAAGCAAACGAGAAATAGAGGTGTGCAAAAAAGTAAATAAAACGGCCTATGGGGTTTTGGTTTTCTATGAAAAAAATTCATAATTTCATTGAAAAGGCTGAGAGAAAAAACCTAA